GGCAATCAGCAATAATAGATCCCCAGCATCAATAGACCCCCCCAGCACAAAAGACCCCCCCTGAAACAATAGAACCCCAGCAGTCAGCATCAATAGATCCTCCAGCACTCCTTGCCATAACATACATTCAGTGCTGGAGGTTCCCCACGTTCCTGCATGATGTTATTCCTCCTATGCGGCACGATGAGTAAGTTCTGCAGTCTTCCAGCCGTCCTGATGAAGGGGGACACTTTGAACCCCTAAAGGTTGGCTTTTGACTGAACGTGACTTTTAATCTACTGCTGGACTTCACTAAACGCTTTCAGCTCTTCCACGATTGGACACAAGTCCTAGTAGGGGCGGATCCACGAATTATGGTAATGATGTCATCTCACAGTAACATCAAACTCAACGGGCGGCATCCAAATCCCTTACACTGGACCCCCACCACCATAGAACGTGACCAAGGGGGGGGGGGGGGGGCAACTCAGCCATTAGAATTCTGACAATGCCAGGGATACAAATCACTCCCAGCCAACATACATTCTGCAGGGTATAAATAATCGTTATGTAATGATTGGAACTTCTGCGGAACATCGATCGCTTCTCTTGTGTGAATAGATCCAATTATGATTCATTTAGTGGCACTCACAGGGGAACAAAGATATCACGGCTGAGCCTCAGAACCGGAATAGAAAGACAGCAATCAGTTGTGTCATCAGCTACATCTCGTCTACCATCTGAGGTCAGGCAGCTTCTCACCACCACAAGGTATGGACAACCTTCAGCCCTCCGGCAGCTACATCTCATCTACCATCCCAGATCAGGCAGCTTCTCACCACCACTAGGCATGGACAACCTTCAGCCCTCCGGCAGGTACATCTCATCTATCATCCGAGGTCAGGCAGCTTCTCACCACCACTAGGCATGGACAACCTTCAGCCCTCCGGCAGGTACATCTCATCTATCATCCGAGGTCAGGCAGCTTCTCACCACCACTAGGCATGGACAACCTTCAGCCCTCCGGCAGGTACATCTCACCTACCATCCGAGGTCAGGCAGCTTCTCACCACCACAAGGCATGGACAACCTTCAGCCCTCCGGCAGCTACATCTCGTCTACCATCCCAGGTCAGGCAGCTTCTCACCACAAGGCATGGACAACCTTCAGCCCTCCGGCAGGTACATCTCACCTACCATACCAGGTTAGGCAACGTCTCACCGCCACAAGGCATGGACAACCTTCAGCCCTCTGGCAGCTTTTCACCCGCCACAAGGCATGGACAACCTTCAGCCCTCTGGCAGCTTTTCACCGCCACAAGGCATGGACAACCTTCAGCCCTCCGGCAGGTACATCTCACCTACCATCCCAGGTTAGGCAGCTTCCCACCACCACAAGGCATGGACAACCTTCAGCCCTCCGGCAGGTACATCTCACCTACCATCCCAGGTTAGGCAGCTTCTCACCGCCACAAGGCATGGACAACATTCAGCCCTCCGGCAGCTTCTCACCGCCACAAGGCATGGACAACCTTCAGCCCTCCGGCAGGTACATCTCATCTACCATCCCAGGTTAGGCAGCTACTCACCACCACAATGCATGGACAACCTCCGGCAGCTTCTCCCACCAAAAGGCATGCGGCAGCTTCTCACCGCCACAAGGCATGGACAACCTTCAGCCCTCCGGCAGGTACATCTCATCTACCATCCAAGGTTAGGCAGCTTCTCACCACCACAAGGCATGGACAACCTTCGGCCCTCCGGCAGCTTCTCACCACCAAAAGGCATGGACAACCATCAGCCTCACCGGCAGGTACATCTCGTCTACCATCCCAGGTTAGGCAGCTTCTCACCACCACAATGCATGGACAACCTTCAGCCCTCCGGCAGCTACATCTCATCTACCATCCAAGGTTAGGCAGCTTCTCACCACCACAAGGCATGGACAACCTTCAGCCCTCCGGCAGGTACATCTTGTCTACCATCCCAGGTTAGGCAGCTGTCTCACCGCTCACAAGGCATGGACAACCTTCAGTCCGGCAGCTCCGGGCATGGAAGCTTCTCACCGCCACAAGGCATGGAAAACCTTCAGCCCTCCGGCAGCTACATCTCATCTACCATCCAGGTCAGGCAGCTTCTCACCACCACAAGGCATGGACAACCTTCAGCCCTCCGGCAGGTACATCTCGTCTACCATCCCAAGTTCGGCAACTTCCCACCGCCACAAGGCATGGACAACCTTCAGCCCTCCGGCAGGTACATCTTGTCTACCATCCCAGGTTAGGCAGCTTCTCACACCACAAGGCATGGACAACCTTCAGCCCTCCGGCAGGAACATCTCGTCTACCATCCGGTTAGGCAGCTTCTCACCGCCACAAGGCATGGACAACCTTCAGCCCTCCGGCAGGTACATCTCGTCTACCCATCCCAGGTTAGGCAGCTTCACCATCACCACAACCTTCACATCTCGTGCATGGACAACCTTCAGCCCTCCGGCAGCTACATCTCTCACCACCACAAGGCATGGACAACCTTCGACCCTCCGGCAGCTTCTCACCACCACAAGGCATCTACCATCCAAGGTTAGGCAGCTTCTCACCACCACAAGGCATGGACAACCTTCAGCCCTCCGGCAGGTACATCTCATCTACCATCTGAGGTCAGGAAGCTTCTCACCGCCACAAGGCATGGACAACCTTCAGCCCTCCAGCAGGTACATCTTGTCTACCATCCCAGGTTAGGCAGCTTCTCACCACTACAAGGCATGGACAACCTTCAGCCCTCCGGCAGGCACATCTCGTCTACTACCATCCCAGGTTAGGCAACGTCTCACTGCCACAAGGCATGGACAACCTTCAGCCTCTCCAGCAGGCATACATCTCGTCTACCATCCCAGGTTAGGCAGCTGTTCACCATCACAAGGCATGGACAACCTTCAGTCCTCCGGCAGCATTCTCACCATCCGGTCACAAGGCATGGGAAAACCTTCAGCCCTCCGGCAGCTACATCTCATCTACCATCCAAGGTGAGGTTCTCAGGCAGGACTTCTCACATCTCCACAAGGCATGGACAACCTTCAGCCCTACCATCCCAGGCAGGTACATCTCGTCTACCACCATCCAAGTTAGGCAACGTCTCACTGCCACAAGGCATGGACAACCTTCAGCCCTGCCACAGGTACATCTTGTCTACCATCCCAGGTTAGGCAGCTGTGCACCATCAACCTTCAGCCCTCCGGCAGCTTCTCACCGCCACAAAGGCATGGACAACCTTCAGCCCTCCGGCAGGTACATCTCGTCTACCATCCAAGGTTAGGCAGCTTCTCACCACCATGTAAGGCATGGACAAAGTTAGGCTTCAGCCCTTCAGCCCTGGCAGGTACATCTCGTCTACCATACCAGGTTAGGCAGCTTCTTACCTACCACAAGGCATGGACAACCTTCAGCCCTCCGGCAGGTACATCTCGTCTACCATCCCAGGTTAGGCAGCTTCTCACCACCAGTAGGCATGGACAACCTTCAGCCTTCTGGCAGGTACATCTCGTCTACCATCCCAGGTTAGGCAGCTTCTCATTACCACTAGCCCAACCTTCAGCCTTCCGCAGGTACATCACGTCTACCATCCCAGGTTAGGCAGCTTCTCACCACCACAAGGCATGGACAACCTTCAGCCCTCCAGCAGGTACATCACGTCTACCATCCCAGGTTAGGCAGCTTCTCACCACCACAAGGCATGGACAACCTTCAGCCCTCCAGCAGGTACTCACGTCTACCATCCCAGGTTAGGCAGCACTTCTCACCACCACTAGCCATAGACAACCTTCAGCCTTCCGGCAGGTACATCACGTCTACCATCCCAGGTTAGGCAGCTTCTCACCTCCACAAGGCATGGACAACCTTCAACCCTCCTGCAGCTACATATTTCCTGATGGGTTTGCTTCAGCTTCATGTAATACAGCAAGGAATGTCTTCCCTTCCTATAGATCCTGAGATGAGAGCAGTAACATTCAACACTTGGAGATCAGCGGGGGGGGGGGGGGGGGGGGGGGGGGGGGGGGGGGGGGTATCAGGATATAGGATGCAGATGGAAGAACAGATGCAAGAGCTTTACAATTGGGGGGCTTGAGTTCTAGAGGGAAGGGTAAAATGGGGTTCTAGGGAGGTATGAAAATCCACATTTTATCCAGCTACTATGCATTAAAAGGGAAAACAAATCGAGTGGATTATCCATGAAAATGAAAGATCCGAAAAGAGAGGCAACAAGGCACAAAAAGAATGGGGGGGGGGGGGGGAAGAAAAGATATAAAAAAAAGTAAAAGAAATAAATAAATAAAGAAAAGCAAAAAAAAAAGAGGAAACAAGAAAAGGATAAAAGTAAAAAGAAAGCAAAGATAGAAAAAATAGAGAAAAAAAGACAAGAAAATGAAAAGATAGAAAAAAAAGAGAAAAAGAGAAAGATAGAAACAAAGAGAATAAAAAGAAAAGAGAAAAGGAATTAATTTCTGTTTGTTCCATTTGATGTGTTCCGGTGATAGGAAGTGACTGACACAAATCCTTTAAGCCGCCTCACATCCTGGACGTTGGAGGATTCTCCTCCCGGGCAGAGTTCTGGTTTCCTCCAGTTGGTTGGAGGTCAGTTGGAGGTTATTGTGCATTTGATTTGCAGAGGACGGTTGTGCCTGGAGGTCGGAGTCCCGGCCTCTCCTCCTACGTACAGAAATCCAATCTCTCCTCTTCGGATCGCACACCTCGGAGGTTGTCGGGGATTTGGTGGAAGAAGAGAAATGTTATTACAATTCCCACCCCAAGAATAACCGGATGGAGGTTCCTGTATGCAGGAGAAGGAGCCTTGATTTCAGGTCACGGGTCTGTGGTGATCGGTCACGGGTCTGTGGTGATGGGTCACGTGTCTGTGGTGATGGGTCACGTGTCTGTGGTGATGGGTCACGTGTCTGTGGTGATGGGTCACGTGGTCTGTGGTGATGGGTCACGGGTCTGTGGTGATGGGTCACGGGTCTGTGGTGATCGGTCCCGGGTCTGTGGTGATGGGTCACGGATCTGTGGTGATCGGTCACGGGTCTGTGGTGATCGGTCACGGGTCTGTGGTGATCGGTCCCGGGTCTGTGGTGATGGGTCACGGCTCTGTGGTGATCGGTCACGGCTCTGTGGTGATCGGTCAAGTCTCTGTGGTGATGGGTCACGGCTCTGTGGTGATCGGTCACGGCTCTGTGGTGATCGGTCACGTCTCTGTGGTGATGGGTCACGGCTCTGTGGTGATCGGTCATGGCTCTGTGGTGTGGTGATGGGTCACGGCTCTGTGGTGTGGTGATCGGTCACGGGTCTGTGGTGATCGGTCATGGCTCTGTGGTGATGGGTCACAGCTCTGTGATGATAGGTCACGGCTCTGTGGTGATCGGTCACGGCTCTGTGGTGTGTTGATTGGTCATGGCTCTGTGATCGGTCACGGCTCTGTGGTGTGGTGATCGGTCACGGCTCTGTGGTGATCGGTCCCGGGTCTGTGGTGATCGGTCACGGCTCTGTGGTGATGGGTCACAGGTCTGTGGTGATGGGTCCTGGGTCTGTGGTGATCGGTCACGGCTCTGTGGTGATCGGTCCCGGGTCTGTGGTGATCGGTCACGGCTCTGTGGTGATGGGTCACGGGTCTGTGGTGATCGGTTCCGGGTCTGTGGTGATCGGTCACGGCTCTGTGGTGATCGGTCACGGCTGTGTGGTGATGGGTCACGTGTCTGTGGTGATGGGTCACAGGTCTGTGATGATCGGTCACGGCTCTGTGGTGATCGGTCACGGCTCTGTGGTGATCGGTCATGGCTCTGTGGTGTGGTGATGGGTCACGGCTCTGTGGTGTGGTGATGGGTCACGGGTCTGTGGTGATCGGTCATGGCTCTGTGGTGATGGGTCACGGCTCTGTGATGATCGGTCACGGCTCTGTGGTGATCGGTCACGGCTCTGTGGTGATCGGTCACGGCTCTGTGGTGTGGTGATCGGTCATAGCTCTGTGATCGGTCATGGCTCTGTGGTGTGGTGATGGGTCATGGGTCTGTGGTGATCGGTCACGGCTCTGTGGTGATCGGTCACGGCTCTGTGGTGATCGGTCACGGCTCTGTGGTGATCGGTCCCGGGTCTGTGGTGATCGGTCACGGCTCTGTGGTGATCGGTCATGGCTCTGTGGTGATCGGTCACGGCTCAGTGGTGATGGGTCACGGGTCTGTGGTGATCGGTCATGGCTCTGTGGTGATCGGTCCCGGGTCTGTGGTGATCGGTCACGGCAGTGGTGATGGGTCACGGGTCTGTGGTGATCGGTCACGGCTCTGTGGTGATCGGTCCCGGGTCTGTGGTGATCGGTCACGGCTCAGTGGTGATGGGTCACGGCTCAGTGGTGATGGGTCACGGGTCTGTGGTGATCAGTCACGGCTCAGTGGTGATGGGTCACGGGTCTGTGGTGATCGGTCACGGGTCTGTGGTGATCGGTCATGGGTTCATGGCTCTGTGGTAATCGGTCACGGCTCTGTGGTGATGGGTCACGTGTCTGTGGTGTGGTGATGGGTCACGGGTCTGTGGTGATCGGTCATGGCTCTGTGGTGATGGGTCACGGCTCTGTGATGATTGGTCACGGGTCTGTGGTGATCGGTCTGGGCTCTGTGGTTATGGGTCACGGCTCTGTGATGATTGGTCACGGGTCTGTGGTGATCGGTCATGGCTCTGTGGTGTGGTGATCGGTCATAGCTCTGTGATCGGTCATGGCTCTGTGGTGTGGTGATGGGTCATGGGTCTGTGGTGATCGGTCACGGCTCTGTGGTGATCGGTCGCGGCTCTGTGGTGATGGGTCACGTGTCTGTGGTGATGGGTCACGGGTCTGTGGTGATCGGTCACGGCTCTGTGGTGATCGGTCCCGGGTCTGTGGTGATCGGTCACGGCTCAGTGGTGATGGGTCACGGGTCTGTGGTGATCGGTCACAGCTCTGTGGTGATCGGTCCCGGGTCTGTGGTGATCGGTCACGGCTCAGTGGTGATGGGTCATGGGTCTGTGGTGATCGGTCACGGGTCTGTGGTGATCGGTCACGGGTCTGTGGTGATCGGTCATGGCTCCGATTGGTCAATTTGCAGTGGAAGGAGAAGCCAAGTCACCGGCCAGTTTGTGGGAAATGATAAGTCGTTCTCACATTGAAGGACGTGTCGATAAAACGCAGAATCCGTGAGGTCGGGGGAGGTCTGTAAAGTCGGGGGAGGTCTGTGAAGTCAGGGGAGGTCTGTGAGGACGGGGGAGGTCTGTGAAGTCGGGGGAGATCTGTGAGGATGGGGGAGGTCTGTGAAGTCGGGGGAGGTTTGTGAGGTTGGGGGAGGTCTGTGAAGTCGGGGGAGGTTTGTGAGGTTGGGGGAGGTCTGTGAGGACGGGGGAGGTCTTTGAAGACGGGGGAGGTCTGTGAGGACGGGGGAGGTCTGTGAAGTCGGGGGTGGTCTGTGAGGACGGTGAGGTCTGTGAAGTCGGGGGAGGTCTGTGAGGACGGGGGAGGTCTGTGAAGTTGGGGGAGGTCTGTGAAGTCGAGGGAGGGCTGTGAGGACGGGGGAGTTCTGTGAAGTTGGGGGAGGTCTGTGAGGTCGAGGGAGTTCTGTGAGGACGGGGGAGGTCGTTGAAGTCGGGGGAGGTCTGTGAGGACAGGGGAGGTCTGTGAGGTCGGGGGAGGTCTGTGAGGACGGGGGAAGTCTGTGAGGACGGGGGAAGTCTGTGAGGTCGGGGGAGGTCTGTGAGGTCGGGGGAGGTCTGTGAGGACGGGGGAGGTCTGTGAAGTTGGGGGAGGTCTGTGAAGTCGATGGAGGGCTGTGAGGACGGGGGAGTTCTGTGAAGTTGGGGGAGGTCTGTGAGGTCGAGGGAGTTCTGTGAGGACGGGGGAGGTCGTTGAAGTCGGGGGAGGTCTGTGAGGACGGGGGAGGTCTGTGAGGTCGGGGGAGGTCTGTGAGGACGGGGGAAGTCTGTGAGGTCGGGGGAGGTCTGTGAGGTCAGGGGAGGTCTGTGAGGTCGAGGGAGTTCTGTGAGGACGGGGGAGGTCGTTGAAGTCGGGGGAGGTCTGTGAGGACGGGGGAGGTCGTTTAAGTCGGGGGAGGTCGTTGAAGTCGGGGGAGGTCGTTGAAGTCGGGGGAGGTCTGTGAGGACGGGGGAGGTCTGTGAGGTCGGGGGAGGTCTGTGAGGTCGGGGGAGGTCTGTGAGGACGGGGGGAGGTCTGTGAGGACGGGGGAGGTCTGTGAGGTCGGGGGAGGTCTGTGAGGTCGGGGGAGGTCTGTGAGGACGGTTTGGTGCCAACATTGGAATCGTCTTCAATAATAAAAACCTCAAAAATTCCTCATAAACATAATTTATTACGCCGATATCATTCTAAATAATCGCAGAAATAAAAAGTTCCTGGGACATGAAGAGTAAATGACACGAGCAACTGTCTTCATGGTTGTGTAGAAAGACAGATGGATTCCGGCTCATTTGCCGACGTGCATAACATGTGACTTTGGACCCAACACGTCAGGGCGCCGGTATCATGTGATGGAAATTCATTCAGATTGGAAATGAGTGCAAATCCTGTCTGGAGGACCCCGATTGTTCTCAGATTGAAATGAATGGAAATCCCGGATGAGCCCCCCAAGCTGTTTTGGTTTTGAAAAGCGTGCCGATCCCGGATGAGCCCCCAACCATTTTGCCGATTTTTCCTGTTTCGGGAGTAAACGTTTCCGATCTGGAATGAGGTGCATTGTTGTCTATGGGGCAGTGCACACAGCTCAGCGAAAACCTGCGAAACAAAAAGAGAAAATGTTTCATTGGAGTGCAGTCATTTACTGACGTGTTTACTTGTTGTGGCCCTTTGCACATGGGCGTCGTCATTTACTGACGTGTTTACTTGTTGTGGCCCCTTGCACATGGCCGTATTCATTTACTGACGTGTTTTCTCGTTGTGGCCCTTTGCACATGGGCGTCGTCATTTACTGACGTGTTTACTGCTTGTGGCCCCTTGCACATGGGAGTCGTCATTTACTGACATGTTTACTCGTTGTGGCCCCTTGCACATGGGAGTCGTCATTTACTGACGTATTTACTCCTTGTGGCCCCTTGCACATGGGAGTCATCATTTACTGACATGTTTACTGCTTGTGGCCCCTTGCACATGGGAGTCGTCATTTACTGACATGTTTACTTGTTGTGGCCCCTTGCACATGGGAGTCATCAATTACTGACATGTTTACTGCTTGTGGCCCCTTGCACATGGGAGTCGTCATTTACTGACATGTTTACTCGTTGTGGCCCCTTGCACATGGGAGTCATCATTTACTGACATGTTTACTGCTTGTGGCCCCTTGCACATGGGAGTCGTCATTTACTGACATGTTTACTCGTTGTGGCCCCTTGCACATGGGCGTCGTCATTTACTGACGTGTTTACTCCTTGTGACACACAGCGCACACACACAGCGCACACACAGCGCACACACACACACAGCGCACACACAGCACAGCGCACACACACACAGAGCGCACACACACACAGCGCACACACAGCCACCACACACAGCACACACACACAGCCACACAGCGCACACACACAGCCACACACACACAGAGCGCACACGCACACATCCTCGCCTGTGATTGCGGGTTCAGTGACAGCTCAGGAGGCTCCGCCCCTTATCAATGTCAGGGGGGGGGGGCGCGCTGTCCTTTCATTAATTATTCCATTATGGGGTTGATTGCCATCGGCCTGACCGCCCCGACACCCTGACCGCCCCCAACACCCTGACCGCCCCGCCACCCTGACCATCCTGACACCCTAACCGCCCCGACACCCTGGCCGCCCCGCCACCCTGACCACCCTGACACCCTAACCGCCCCGACACCCTGGCCGCCCCCGCCACCCTGACCGCCCCCAACACCCTGACCGCCCCGACACCCTGACCACCCTGACACCCTAACCGCCCTGACACCCTGACACCCTGACCGCCCCCAACACCCTGACCGCCCCGCCACCCTGACACCCTGACCGCCCCCAACACCCTGACCGCCCCGCCACCCTGACCACCCTGACACCCTAACCGCCCTGACACCCTGACTGCCCTGACCTCCGTGATCGCCCTGACTGCCCTGACCGCCCCGACACCCTGACCGCCCCGCCACCCTGAACACCCTTACACCCTAACCGCCCTGACACCCTGGCCGCCCCGCCACCCTGACACCCTAACCGCCCTGACACCCTGACTGCCCTGACCTCCGTGATCGCCCTGACCGCCCGACACCCCTGACCGCCCCGACACCCTGACACCCTGACCGCCCCGACACCCTGACCGCCCCGACACCCTGACCGCCCCGACACCCTGACCGCCCGACACCCTGACCGCCCCTGACACCCTGACCGCCCCGACACCCTGACCGCCCTGACACCCTGACCGCCCCGACACCCTGACTGCCCTGACACCCTGACCGCCCTGACA